AACAAAAGAGCAATACCTTGGGCCTTGACAACTTTGTGAAATTTCAGACCTATAAAGTAGAGTATGGCCGCGACACCCTGGTGTGTTTTATAAAAATGTTTACCGAGGGCAAATACGAATACCCAACCCGCAAAAAAGGATGGGATNNTGGGATGAATATTTAAGCGCCTATTACATGATTGTGAATTACCGCGATTTGCGGAAATTAAAAAACACCGAACAGGGGGAAGTTACCGTAAAACGCGTGGAGGCCCTGGACGGTGGATTAATTTCAGACACGAAAGAAAGCAAGGTGTTAAAGGCTATTAAGGAGCGGGTAATTATAAAGCCAGAATATGACAGAAACCTGGTTTTTACCCTACAGCTGTATAAGAAAGACAGCATTGCGCGCTTCCAAATTTGCTCTCTGCACGATATTTTTCCAGATGTAGAAATGGTGCGAAGGGATTTTACCCGGAGGGGACACACGGTGTACGGCTCGGTACGGCTTTTTGATTTCATTTACTACGAAGCCAAATATGACGACCTTCTGAATCTTTTCGAAATTCCCCTGGAGGACTTTTACAACTTAGAAGACTTTTAAACTTGCGGGATGTACTGGCCAAATATGAGCATTTGCTGAAGTACCTCTACGGAGTGGTGTTTTCGCTATTTGCAGCGGTAGTTATAGTAAAAATGGGCACGGCCGGAGCCGGCTTGCTCATTGCCGCCCCGCTGGTATTGCTCTACTTCTATTTTATGTTCAAGTACCCAAAACTGGGTTTGTACAGTGTGCTCATACTTAGTTTCTTTATTGGTGCCATGGGCCGCTACCTACCGGTAAACCTGCCTTTTGGGTTGGGAGTGGATATTTTGCTGGTAGTTACTTACGTGGTGATCATATTCAAATATTGGAAGGGACTGGATATGACCCCCAGCTACAACGACATTGTTTTGCTCAATGTTATTTGGATGGGGTACGTGGTGCTCGAAATTTTTAACCCCCTGGCCCAAAGTTTTGCCGCCTGGTTTTACTCCATGCGCGGGGTGGCGCTCTATCAAGTATTGGCCTTTGGCTTATCGTTTACCCTGCTTAACAGCCGTAAAGATTTTATGCGCTTTATGAATATTTGGCTTTGGCTTTCTTTGCTGGGTGCGGTTTGGGCCATTAAACAGAAATTCATCGGGCTTGACCCGTTTGAGCAGGCGTGGCTGGATGCCGGAGCCGAAGAAACCCACGTGCTGTTCGGCAAACTGCGTCATTTTTCCTATTACTTTGATGCAGGCACCTTTGGCGCTTCCATGGGGCACGCCTGTATTGTAGCAGGAATCTTGTTCTTAGGCCCCTACTCAAAAAACCGGAAAATATTCTTTTTAGTGGTTGCCCTGCTCTGTTTTTATGGCCTGCTGATAAGCGGGACGCGCGGAGCATTGGCCGTACCGGGCATCGGGGGAATTTTGTTTTTGATACTCACCAAAAACGTTCGCCTTTTAACCCTGGGGGGTGCGGTACTTCTCAGCGGCTTCATCTTCTTAAAATTTACCACCATCGGGCAAAGCAATTATGATATCGCCCGTTTGCGTTCTGCGCTTAGCGCGGATGACCCTTCGCTGCAGGTAAGGATTGGCGCCCGAAAAGCACTGTCGAAATACCTGGCCGACAAACCCTTTGGCACAGGCCTGGGAACGGCTGGTTTTTGGGGACAGCGGTTTTCACCCAACACCTGGATGGCCAATTTTGAAACCGATGGCCTGTACACCCGTATTCGGGCCGAAACGGGCCGAGTAGGCCATACCATTTATGTTTACATGTTCATTTACATATTAATACGGGGCTTTTTAGTGGTGTGGAATATGAAAGACGAACACCGCAAATACTACGGCATGGCCATAATGTCTGGCTTTGCCGGCATTCTGGTGGCCAATTACGGCAACAGCGTAATGACCCAGTTTCCAGAGAGCTTCCTCACCTACTTTTCAGTAAGTTTTGTATTTAGCATGCAATATTGGAACAAAGATGGGGAGTACGAATTGCCAGAAGAAAAGAAAAAATCTTTGTTGAAGTAGGTGGCTGGGATTTAGCCGCGGCTTTTCATTCTCGGGTTCCTGAGCTGTAAGGTTAATAGCTTTTTAAAGAATCTGCGAATGGCCGAGCGGCTCTTTTCGATATCGCCAAGTACATTTTGCATAAAGTCGGGTTCTACTCCGTTGAGCAACAAACGCGGCTTATGGCCCAGTGTTTCCTCTATATCTTGCAGTGCCGACCCGTCAGCCCGATTCCAGTTTCTGAAGGCACCAACCACACAAATGCTCATAGGAAATTGCTCCATGAGCGATATTGGGTAAGGATTGGTCAGCACGCCATCTACAATTAAAAAGATATAATCGTATAGCGTGGGATCATAGCCCATGGGGATTATTTCGGTAAGGTTTTCAGAATTGACAAAGCGTTTGTCGTTTTGATAATGTACGTAATCATAAAAGGGAGTTTCCTCCTCCAGGAATTTTTTAGGCCCTAAAACCAATACCCGGTAGTTAAGGCTAACCAATTCATTGCTCAGCACGTGGGTAGCTAATAATTTTCCATCACCCGAACGGGTGCTGAAAACCAAGGCCAATTTTGGTTTGTCCAGAGAAACCCCTCTGTTTCTGGCTTCGGTTCTTAGGTTTTGCGCCAAAAGCCCCGCAGCCTTTTCGTGCAGCCAATCAAAATTTACGTTTTTAGTTACGGCTGTGCTGTTTAGGTTGGGATAAGCCCCCAGTAGTTTCAGCCCGGTGAGCTTTTCGGCCCGTTCGGGGGTGCGGATTGAAGCATCTAAAAACTCTTTGAGTATTACAAAGGCAAAGGGCACCACAAAGCCCACTATTGCCGCCACCAGTATCAAAAGCATGGCCTTTGACGGCTTTGGCTCCAAGGGGTAAGAGGGCGGTACCAGTACCACCAATCCCCCACTGCTCAGTTTCTGACTCTTTTGCTTAAGCAGGGCCTGGTTAAAACTGTTAAGCACTTCAAAATAGTTGCTCTCTTCTACGGCAATTTCTCTCTCCAGCCGGGCCGCTTTGGCCCCTAGGGCCGCAAACTGATTGTACTGGTCTGCGAAGTATTCTTTGCGCTTAGCATAAACTTTCAGGCGTGCTTCAGTTTCATCAAGTTGAAGGGTGTAGTTGATCCATTCACCAATCAAATTGTCGATGGGTATGCCATCCACGGTGCGGCCCCGCATATAGCGGTTTTGGATTTTGTTGCTTATTTCTGCCTCTAGTTTATCGGCCTTTACGCGAAGCTTTTGCAGCAGATCCATGTCGTTGTAATAGGTTTCCAGCTCAGCAATTTTTGCCCGAAGGTCAATTAGCTCGCGTTTTTTCTCAAGAATTTCAGAGCCCAGCTGTACCATTACCGAATTCATGGCCAACTGTTGATTCAGTGTCTCCAGGCCGGCTTCCGCAGCCTCTTTCCGCGCAAGCTCCTTTTGATACTCATCCTCCATTATTTCTTTCTTCTGAGCCAAGCTTCGCGTTTGCTCATCATAGTTTATCACCTTGTTGGCAACCCTAAAATCCTGTAGTTTCTGTTCAACGGCATCCAGGCGTTGATCGGCCAGGTTTACTTGCTCCCGGAAATACTCTACCACATCATCAGACTGCCCCAACTTTATCTTTTCCACATTGGAAGAGGCCACCTGATTGACTATCATTAAGGTGTTTTGAACAATTCCCGGGTCGTTGTAAGTGTAGCTGATATTCAAAAGGTCAGAGCTTTGAACCCGTTCTATGTTAATTCTACCAATGGTTTTATAGCTGTAGGGCGAACCATCACCTTCAAAAAGCCACTTTACCTTATTCTCCGAAAAGTTCTTGTTTCGGTAGCGCTTGAGGTTGCGAATGGTGAGCTCAACGGAATAAGGAACCAGCAATTCATTTTTAAGTGAATCGGGGATATAAAATTTTAAAGTGTTCCAGTTTTTCTTGTTCAGGTAACGCTTGTCAAGGGTATCGAGCAGCAAGTGCTGTGTAAGCAACCGGTACCCCACCTCTTCAAGGGTTTGCCTTGATTTGATAATGTTTATCAGGTTGTCGTACTCGGTATTTGTGGCAAAGTAATCAACGCGGTTGTTGGTTATGTTGTCCAGTTCAACCCCAGAGGCAATGCCCGTGTAGAGTTCGGTTGACGATTCAAATTCTTCAGGAAGATTTCGGGTGAGGAAAAAAACCACCAGGGCCATAACTATAGAGCATAGCAAGAAGAGGTTTAAATTCCTGTTGAATATCCTAAAAAACTGAAGTAGAGTCATGCAGCCTTTAGTCCAAATTAAATTTACTGAAAGGCACGCCCACTAATGCTTGCAGCCTCCGGTAAGTGTTATAAAATTCTGCTTTTAAGGTGGTGTAATTGGTGGCCCACTTCGACTTAAGTTCGGTATTTTGCCCGAGTTCATCCAACGAAAGTTCACCCTGCACAAAGCGATTTTCGGCTTGCTCATAAATAAACTGAGCCGATTCGCTGGCTTCGGTGGCATGGCCAATTAATTCTTTAAGCATAAACAGGCGGTTATAGGTTTCTTCTACTTCTTGTTGAATGGCAATTACCTGTTCCTTGCGTTTGGCTGCCTCGCTTAAGCTAGCTGCCTCGGCCATTTTAATGCGTGACGAACGATTAAAGATGGAGCCGAGTGGTACGCGTAAGCTTATGCCGTACTGGTAACCCGAAAGGGCAAAGCCATCAACCCCTACAATATTTGAGCCTGAATAATAATTGCCCCCGAGTTGTATTTGGTTTAACCAATCTCTTTTAATGGTGCTCACTTCGTATTCAAACATTTTCTGCCGCTGCAGAAAGTATTCAATCTGTGGCGCATTGGCAATGGCCGAATCAATTAAAACCGGGAGGGGCGGCAGGTATGAAGCCAGGTTTACGATTAATGAATCTTCTTGTTCTTGCCCATTATTAGCCTGTCCCACTAATGAGCTGGCACTAAATATTACCGTTGCAGATAAAAGCAATATTTTAAGATGAGCGTTTATCATACATTCTCTTTTTGAAGTAAAGCCGGTACAGTTTTCAGGATGAGCTTAATATCGTTCCAGAGACTAAAATTTTTGGCGTATTCATTGTCAAGCGCTTTGCGCTCTTCTTCGCTCATTTCGCCCTTTCCTCGCTTTTCTACCTGCCACAAACCGGTTATGCCGGCAGGCGCCAAAAATCGTTCCCCCCAATCGTCTGAGGTTAATTGCTCGGCTTCATACAAGGGCAAGGGCCGGTTACCCACAATTGACATATCGCCTTTGAGCACATTTATAAGCTGCGGCAGCTCATCAATACTGGTTTTGCGAATAAACTGCCCCACTTTGGTAACCCTCGGATCGTCTTTAAACTTCACGAAAGTACCCACCTGTTGTTTCCGCTTCAATTCATTGTAAGCTTCTTCACTCATGGGGGTGCCATCTTTATAAATTAACGTTGGTGAAGAATCGCGTTTTCTGCGAAACTTCTTCTCTAGCGCATCCAGGTCATTTTTGGCGTCTTCGTTTTCCTCCTCCTGCTTGTATTGATTGAGGTGGGCCAGCTCTTTAATGCGCTTATCGGCATCTGAATACATACTCCTTAGCTTGTAAAAGTCAAATACGTGAAAGCCCGTTCCCACGCGCTTAGAGATGTAATAGAACTTGCCTTTTGACTCAAGCTTAATGGCTATTATGGTAATGATAAGTATTGGAGAAACCGCCAGCAAAATGAGACTGGCCACCACAATGTCAAAAATTCTTTTGCCCAGCGGAATTTTATAGTCCTTCTTCAGTTTCTTGCGAGCCGTGGAAAGCCGGCTCTTAAGCATGCCCCGGTAAAAGTCAATTTTTTCAGGAATGGTTTGCATGCTCTCATCATGCAGAATCAATTCAAGCACCCCCTCTTTCAAAAGCTTTTTCCGTTCCTCGAGGCGCAACTCTGATATGCGCAACAAAAATGGGATTTTGTGCTTGTTGAGTATGTCTTTGTAGCGGCTAAATATTTTATCTCCGTACAGGCCTCGTAGTTTGTGGTCTGAAATTATAAGCTTGTAATCGTCAAGGTTATCCAATTGATTGTGAAAACCCACAACATTCTTTACCTGCTGTACGTCAAGATCATCTATGGCGTATAGATGTTGAATGGCCTGGGTATCTTCACCGATGTAAAGTATTGTTTTCAACCTTTTAAACGAATAAGATTATCAATTCTCAAGCTCAATTCTTCGGGGTTAAAAGGTTTAATCAAATAGTCGTTTGCTCCTAGTTTCAGGCATTTTATGCGTTCGGCACTGCTTTCTTCGCCCGAAAGAACAATAAGGGGTACATCGTAGTAAAATCCGCTTTCGCGGATACGCTTGATGTATTCAAAACCATCTATTTCCGGCATGTTGAGATCGGCCACTACCAAGTCTGGTATATTGCCCGAGTACATCCATTCCAGCGCTTCTCGCCCATTCTCAAGCGTCACTACCCGGTAGCGCTCCTTGAGAATTTGGCCCAATAGCTTACGCATGATGGGTTCGTCATCAATAATTAAAATCTCCTTTTGCTTTTGTTTACTTGCGTCCATTATCTCAGCTCACGTAGCTGCTCAAATGCCTGATTTAACACTTGCTCAACCTGGGTTATTTTTTGATCTAATTCGCTTCCGCCTTCTCCTTCTTTTCCCATGCGCTCAATGTCTCTTATTTCCTGGTGAATTTGGGTCAGGCCAAACAGATCAACATTTGGTTTAATTTTATGCGCTATCGCCCCCACGGTGGCTAAATCTTCGCTTTCGCGGGCTGATTTCATTTCCTGAAGTTGCTGGGGCGTATGCTCTAAAAAGGTATCTACCATACTCATTACAAATTCTTGATCGCCTCCTGCCAGTTCATCCAGCTGCGATAAGTTGTATATTTTTTCGGACATGGTGTTTTATTTTTTGTGGTTATACTTCTAGTTCCTTGTTCTTAATCATGCGGTAGATAGTACTCTTGCCAATGTCAAGCATTTGGGCTACCTCTACCACGTTTCGCTGGTTTTCGTCCAGGTAGTATTGTATAATTTTACGCGTGTAGTCTTTTAAAGTGCTTCCCTCCTTTAGCAATGCTGTGAGATCACTTCTGGTTGAGTTAAAATTTATGTCGGTTGGTAAAATTTCATTCCCCTCACTTAAAACAGCCGCCAGCTCAATAACGGCTTTCAACTCCCGCACATTTCCGGGCCAGTTGTAATCCAAAAGTTTATTCTGTGCCTGGCTGCTAAGCACCTTTTTCTGTAATTTATTTTCTCTGCAAAATTGATCTAAAAAATACTTGGCCAAAAGTAAAATATCATTGCCTCTTTGCCTCAGTGGCGGAAGCTCAATGGGCAAGCCCAGGAGGCGGTAATAGAGGTCTTCCCGAAAACGGCCGGCTTTAACCTCTTCGGCTAAATTTTTATGCGTGGCTACAATTACCCGGGGCGCAATCTTTACTACCGCATTGCCTCCCACGCGGGTAATTTCTCTTTCCTGTAGTACTCGCAACAATTTGGCTTGCAGCGCCAGGTCAAGTTCTGCAATTTCATCCAAAAAAATGGTGCTGTTTTTAGCCTCCTCAAACTTCCCGATGCGCCTGTTGATGGCACCGGTAAAAGCGCCCTTTTCGTGGCCAAAAAGCTCGCTTTCAATAAGCTCATGAGGTATGGCCGCAATGTTTACGGTTATTAAGGGTTTGTTTTGCTGAGCCGAATTATAATGGATGGCCTTTGCCACCAATTCCTTGCCGGTTCCCGTTTCACCCGTGATAGATACCGTTATATTCGTACCCGCGGCCTTTTCCATGAGCTTGAAAACTCGTTGCAGCGAACCGCTATTGCCCTTAATGTTTGAGAAATCGTATTTGAGGGTTACCTCCTGGCGAAGGATGTCTAGCTCATGCCGCAGGCGGGTATTCTCCCGAATGTTGTTCACCGCTTTCCACATGCGCTCTTTCTCATTGCTGTCTTTTACGATATAATCATAGGCGCCCTCCTTTAGCAAGGTTACTACCGTGTCAATGTCTTCCTGGCCGCTAACAATTATTACAGGAAGCTCCGGCTGCGATTGCTTTATTTTTCGCAATACATCAATGCCGCTCATATCGGGCAAAGAATAATCTAAGAATACAAGATGGGGATTTTTGTACAAATTGTGAAGGCATTCTTTACCATTGGCAAACACCTCCACTTCATTATCCGGATTGAGTGAGAGGTGATGCTTGGTTGCTTTGGCGTAGAGCTGATCATCCTCTACCACAAAAACCTTTACAATTTCCATTACAGCGCTAAATGGTATTTCTCAAAGATATTGAAGCCTCTCATTTTGGGAAAGGATTCCAATGGTAGAACGGTACTACTTTCTCACAAGCTTGTTAACAATTCTGGCAATTTCGCTGATCCCTGATTTGAGCCAATTGTAGAAATGGAAGGGTAAGATATCCTTCAAAAAGTAAAAGCCAAAAATTATCCCGGAAGAGAAGGTAAAAATGGTAACCATGGCCACCCACTCCAGGTTATCTGAGAGCTGAACGGCAATTAAATCGCCAATAATATTTACACTTAACATGAGATACACTTTCTTCATGTTTACTTCCGGACGATTTAAAATATCGAGGGCCATTCCGCTGTAGCGATCAATGCTGGTGATGGCCATAAAAACAGCAAAAACCCTTAATATGCTGGCTGCCGATGCATACTCTTCTCCGCCAAACAAAACAACCAAGG